ATGGTTATAGCTACCTTTTCTTCTTAAGTATCTACCCATGCAGTGTCCTTTGCCTTCTGAAGATGAGTTTTCCTGTGAAGATAAAAGCAATACACTTCCCTTTCCTTTGGGAGGTTTCTATTTAGTTTATAAGATATACCTTAGTAGAATACCTGTCATTTGTCCTCTTTGAGAGGTTTTTCCTTTTCCACTTGAATCTTGATCAACTTTGATGGTATCTAAAGTTTATCTTCTCCTGTAGAAACCAATGCAAAACCCCTACCCCAACGTAACACATGTCCTGGTTTCCATATAGAGGTTAGTACATCTTTGAAGTATACCGGCTGATTGAGTTCGACAGTTTTTCCATAGTCCAGTGTCTTTCTGCAGCTGTTTGTCCTTTTTCATTGGCATCAAGAAAGTTTAGTGTTAATAAAGCATTATGCAACCTATGTTGGGGGGTTTAGTCTTCCAAGCTTGTTTTTTGAGCATCTCCTTAAGTGTTCTATTAGATCTCTCAACCACTGCTTGTCCTGTAGGATAGTGTGGTATACCAGTAACATGCTTTATGTTATAATATTTGAAAAATTGTTCTTATTTTGTAGAGACATGCTGGAGCATTGTCAGTTTTTATTTGTGCAGGTATACCCATAACTGCCATCACCTCTAGCAGGTGTGTAAAAACAGAATCACCTTTTTCAGAGTTAAGAGCAGTAGCCCATTGGAACCCTGAGAATGTGTCTACAGTATGATGCACATATTTCAAATTTCCAAACTCTGCAAAGTGAAAGACATCCATCTGCCAAACATCATTTTTCAATTGATGGAGAAGTCCTTTTTCAAACCTTTGCTATTTACATGTTTCTAATTAAATTCTGAGGCTTCTAGTACACTTCCAATTAATAAACGATCAATCTCATCATTGCCTTGTGCTAGTGGGCCTGGCAAACCCGTATGGGATCTGATATGTTTAATGTATATAGGATTACTTCTGTTTCTGATAGTTTCCTATGATTGTAAAAACAGAGAAGTTAATTCTGTATTATCAGGAACAAATTCTACAGTCTCAATGTGTAACACAACTCTCTCCTCATATTGAGAATCAGTAACTATATTAAGAGGTTCTGTAAGT